TGTGTTGACAAAGCGCGCTTCTGGGGTACAAATTCATAAGCCTTATATATTTAATGATTGTTTTTTCTTGTAATTAACAATTTATGTAAATAAAATTGGTGCATTGAAAAGATTTACATACATTGAATATTATACTATATATTTTGTTTCCAGGAAATCTTCACACTGCTGTTATCTAACGAAAAATTTATATTCGCCATTAAATATATACATGGAATGTTCCCGTTGTTGAATCTTGAATTATGCGTCTGTCATAAGTATTCAAAATAGAAAAAAGTAAAATAACAAAAATACCGAACTCCGAGGAAAATTCTAAACGGAAAGTCCCCAATGAAATGAAGCAATAATGGAGATTTGTTCTCCGTTATCTTAAGACCTGCTGGTATATTTGCCTTATGTGTTTATCTTTGATTGATTGAGTGTATTTTGCTTAACGTTCAGTGGAAAATAGTTGATGCATATTGAGGAACAGAAGAAAAATTATTAAAAAAAAATGCAATAGAACTGTAGGCTCTATAAACTGGGTCGACCGGAATGCAGGATGGGGAATTAAGGCTGCCACTAGACAAATATATTGGATATGGACATGTATTTGTCTTGAAACAGACGAACGGACCCTCATACAGATGTTGTTATGGTTCTTTAACGTGTGTAAAGCGTGGTATCAAATTCAACACATCCGGTTTCGCTCTTTTTGGAGTTTATGCAATTCCCTCCATTTGTGTTACCTTGATTGTATCTTTTTAATCGATTTTTAAACTTGCGTGGCTGCGTATTTATATATCCCGCATTACCATGAGGTTAAGATCTTTATCATTGCCTCTCCTTTTATAGAAAAGAAAATAATTTATATAAGAGAACTGCTCTTGCATTCTAATCCCATTTTCAAGCTTATAATATTTCGTACTTGTTTATATTAGTATTTGGCGAATGCATTATTTAAATCTGTTTACAGTTTTCACTTATGTAAAATTCAGTAAACGTGGCCAATATGACACGAACCTAACAACATAAGGTAACAAAAATGGGCATTTTAAGGTTATCGTGTACACTTCATTAATGAACAAGCACCTCCGACCTCTTAAACAAAATCGATCGAGTCTAGACAAGTTGTAAGACTGGTTCCTTGTCAATTATCTGTTTGGCTCTAACTTAGATACCCATATGTTGCAAGGGAAAAAACCAGCTTACAACAAGCTGTTAGACTAGTTTCATGTCCTTTATCTGTTTGGCTCTAACTCAGATACCCGTATGTTGCAAGGGAGAGGACCACACAAGACACGTTGTGAATACTTTGTTTGTTGTATTTGAACAAAGACGATAAATCAACCAACAGCAATACCCCAACAGACAAAAGCATGAAGAAACATAGAAAATATCATTTATATCTGTGAATACGAGGAGTGTTGGTTATGAACCAACCAACAGCAATACCTCAACAGACAAAAACATGGAGAAACATAGAAAATATCATTTACATCTGTGAATACGAGGAGATGTTGGTTATGAACAAAGACGACACATCAACCAACAGCAATACCCAAACAGACAAAAGCATGAAGAAACATAGAAAATATCATTTACATCTGTGAATACGAGGAGATGTTGGTTATGAACAAAGACGATAAATCAACCAAAGGCAATACCCCAACAGACAAAAGCATGACGAAACATAGAAAATATCATTTATATCTGTGATACGAGGAGATGTTGGTAATGAACAAAGACGACAAATCATCCAACAGCAATACCCCAACATACAAAAGCATGAAGAAACATAGAAAATATCATTTATATCTGTGAATGCGAGGAGATGTTGGTTATGAACAAAGACGATAAATCAACCAAAAGCAATACCCCAACAGACAAAACATGAAAAAACATGGAAAATATCGTTTACATCTGTGAATACGAGGAGATGTTGGTTATGAACAAAGACGACAAATCTTCCAACAGCAATACCTCAACAGACAAAAGCATGAAGAAACATAGAAAATATCATTTACATCTGTGAATACGAGGAGATGTTGGTTATAAACAAAGACGACACATCAACCAACAGCAATACCCCAACAGACAAAAGCATGAAGAAACATAGAAAATATCATTTATATCTGTGAATACGAGGAGATGTTGGTTATGAACAAAGACGACAAATCATCCAACAGCAATACCTCAACAGACAAAAGCATGAAGAAACATAGAAAATATCGTTTACATCTGTGAATACGAGGAGATGTTGGTTATGAACAAAGACGACACATCAACCAACAGCAATATCCCAACAGACAAAAGCATGAAGAAACATAGAAAATATCATTTATATCTGTGAATACGAGGAGATGTTGGTTATGAACAAAGACGACAAATCATCCAACAGCAATACCTCAACAGACAAAAGCATGAAGAAACATAGAAAATATCGTTTACATCTGTGAATACGAGGAGATGTTGGTTATGCTTCAGTGAGACAGCAAAACATTGCCACAAATGATCAATTGCTTACATCTTCGTCCTTTAAACTCTGTTGGATAGTTGTCTCATTTGCTATCATATAACATCTCTTTATTTTTATATTAAAGGACACATTTAGATGTTGAGACATGATATAAGTTAAGTGAGCATTACACTCTCCATCTTTTAACTCAATCTTTATGAATATAGGACAGCTTAGGCCTGCAATTAGAACTTTAGTAGGATATTTTTTCAAACATTTTATACTACATATCATATTGTGGGCAATTATGTTGTCAACAAATTCTGTTCAATTTATAATTATTTCATTAGACTTTTCAATTGTTGTACAAATACCGATCACAAACTACGTCCCAAGTCAGTGAAATGTTTAATTGTATATATATTTTAACGAACAATCATGTATTAAGCTGTACCATAAATCCATGTGATAGTAAAAAATCATGACTGTGATGGTTGCAGATCAATATTTTTGTTCTGTCCGGCTTGTATTGATGTTTTTGTTTGTGATTTTGCTCTCCTTCTATTAGATTGAGGTACGGAATTGGCCGAAGTTACGATGAGTGATTACGAAATTTATTATTCGGTCCTTGGAGTGGCTAAAATAGTAAAATTCTTCAATTCTCTGAAAATAATATGATTTCTTTTGATAAATCCATTGCATGATGCAGTCTGGTTATTACAGTGCTGAGATTTGTTTAGGTGTTATTTTGACGCCATACATTTGTAAACATGGTAAACGTGCTTAACGTGACATAGTTGATCTTAATTGGATATTTTACACATTTTTGGAAAACAAAACAGCCTTACCATAAAAACGAAGAATACCAACAAATAATCCGCAGATTATTGTATTGTGAACACATAAAGACTATTTGTTTTTATTGAACTTTAATCCCTTTTGATTTTCAAATTGAGGAGTCCCAACAAATGGATTTATCAAATCTTTTACTTTGAAGCACAAATTCAATTGATTTTTCTTTTTGATTTTTTATGCATCGATTTTGATACATGTACATTACCATTCTAGTTTACAGTTTAGTTACGTGCGAATTACCTTCAAGGAAATAGAGACATTTTTATATAAAAAGAAATCCAGGAAAGTTGCTAACAGATGCATTGTGTGATGTGTCCATACAGCAGTACAGCAGTAACAAGAATTTTATTTTCATTCCATTTTATTAAATTCTTATTTTTCTCGTCATAAAAATATTTGAGACAACAACAAAAAAGCATAATGAAATAATTTTAACAGAACAACAAGATATGTTATTATATACAAATGAGAGCAATACACAAAATACATTAAAAGCACTGGAAATCACAAAGCAAAAGCAGTGTCAACGTTTATAATCTTCTCAAAATAATTGGCGTAAGCGCTTGTACATCGGGGCTTTATTTTTTGTATTGTCGCCCTAATGTAACTTGACAATTTGCTTTTTTGATAATTATCACTTTTGAATAGTCTTATCGTTTAACATGTTAATAGTGTCGCTATCACAGATGTCATTTTTCCACAAACTGAAATACGAAAGATAAAAATACTAATTCTGAAAGGAAAAGTTACATATTCTAGTTCACATATTTGAAGAGAAACTTTCATAGATTATAATGGATTTATTTTACAAGTTATGTAATAGAAATCCGTGTAAGAAAATTAAAAGTGAAAAATATACCTTTAAAGAAAAAACGTGGGCGCCATTTTATCCATATGCAAACGAGTAGTCATCAATTTGAATACTGAAATTTGACCAAAACGCTTGTGATGACAAATAACGATAGCATATACCGAAAGCAAGGAAGGCTATTAGAACATGAACAATTCTACCAGGAAGTAAAAACAAATAAGGGTATAGTTGATTGATGAAAAAATGAGGGGAACTTTCCTTCCGAAAATATTTGAGAAGATTAAGATGAAATACCAAAAAGCTTTTTTACATGCCGAGCAGATATTTAATTAAAAATTTCTAATGTCCGTTTATATAAATGAAATAATTACAGTAAAAACATGCTGAATAGCAATATGTTTTCTTGTACACCACCAATTCTAAGATATGAACAAAAAAGGTACCAAGAAAATTAAATTTACAATCAATTACGGCCAGTAGCTGGATTGTTTTGAAAAAGAAGTAAAAGCTTTTTATTTCCGACGCCGCTTACGGGAATTAGCCAGATCGATACAAGTTATCTGATCAATGTTTAGTTAACACATTGCGCATGCGTAACGCAAATTAACCGATCACTGCACTTGTCGTCGTCGTCTTCCTGGCTATAACAAATAATGTTATTATTATCGCTTCGTAACTTCTCATCCATATTGCATCAGGCCAGCTCAAGCAACAATTCCCATGATAATTGGACATGAGAGGCTTTGGCTTTTAGAGAGCCACGTGTGATTTCAGTGCTATTACAACACACAACTAATATAAAGGTGTTAAAAGACGCATCAAAGTTTCCACAATGAAAAGGGACTGTCAAATACTTTATGCCAACTTAGCTTCTGGATGAAATTAATGCTCGCATAATTAGTTGTAGTATGATTTTAATCAATGAAAATGCACTCGAATCACACCCCTCCTAGCGCAGGTAATATACGCATAATTTCTTCAGCGTCTAATCCGGCTTGTTGTAATGCAAACACCTGAGCCACCGGGTTTTGTTGAGTATTTGGTTGAGCATTACTGCCACTTGCGGCACTAGCTTTGTATCCATTTACATTATTATTTAAATTGTTATTATTATTGTTATTGGTATTTGCATTTGAATTTGACGGATTTATAACAAGCTTTGGTTGTCCCGATTGTCCTTTATGAATTCCAATCTCAACTGTTCCGCCAGATGAAATTACGATAGGTTTTTTATTGGCGCCGCTTGATACAACGCTTGCACCGTTTGGTCCACCTGTGGAAAAAATACTTGGTCCTCCGGCACCACCTGCAGATACCATGTCAGGACCCCCTCCTATTCCCGCAGATTGACCCATTAACATTTGAAGTAGTCCTCCATTTCCTCCTGCCGGGGCACCTCCAAATGGTCCATTTCCGGTATTTACACCAGCAAGTTTGGCTAACTGTTGATTAGAGAACGTACTAAGTAATGATTCGAAGTTTTGACCTCCAAATGCATTGCCTCTAGATCCAGTAACACCAACAACTGCTCCTAAACCTGCATTAGGACCATATTGTGCTCCTCCATTTCTTCCGCCGTGTCCAACCCCAACTCCACCGTGTGCGCCTCCATTACCTCCATGACCACCACCGTGTCCGCCTCCGTTAGCTCCATGGCCACCACCGTGTCCGCCTCCATTAGCTCCATGACCACCACCGTGTCCGCCTCCATTAGCTCCATGTCCACCACCGTGTCCGCCTCCATTACCTCCATGACTACCTCCATGCCCGCCTCCATTACCTCCATGGCCACCACCGTGACCGCCTCCATTACCAACATGACCACCACCGTGACCGCCTCCATTACCAGCATGACCACCACCACCCATACTGCCATGACCAGCACCCATTCCATGAGAGCCACCATGCCCACCTCCATTACCACCATGTGCTCCTCCTTGACCTCCGCCCATTCCCTGACCACCTCCATTTCCATTATGTCCACCTCCCATTCCATGACCGACTCCATTGCCACCATGTCCACCACTCATTCCATGACCGCCTCCATTACCACCATGAGGACCTCCATGGCCACCACCCATTCCATGTCCGCCTCCATTTCCACCGCTCATTCCATGACCGCCTCCATTTCCACCGCCCATTGCATGACCGCCTCCATTTCCACCGCCCATTCCATGACCACCTCCATTGCCACCGCCATTACTAGGACCGCCTCCATTGCCCACATGTCCACCGACCATTCCATGGCCGCTTCCACTGCCACCATGTCCACCGCCCATTCCATGACCACCTCCAATTCCACCACCCATTCCATTACCACCTCCAATTCCACCGCCCATTCCATGGCCACCTCCAATTCCACTGCCCATTCCCTGACCGCCTAAATTCCCACCGCCCATTCCATGACCGCCTACATTTCCACCACCCATTCCATGACCACCTCCAATTCCACCGCCCATTCCATGACCACCTCCAATTCCACTTCCCATTCCATGACCGCCTACATTTCCACCGACCATTCCATGACCACCTACATTTCCACCGACCATTCCATGGCCACCTCCAATTCCACCGCCCAATCCATGGCCTCCTCCAATTCCACTGCCTATTCCCTGACCGCCTAAATTCCCACCGCCCATTCCATGACCGCCTACATTTCCACCGACCATTCCATGACCACCTCCAATTCCACCGCCCATTCCATGACCACCTCCAATTCCACCGCCCAATCCATGGCCTCCTCCAATTCCACTGCCCATTCCCTGACCGCCTAAATTCCCACCGCCAATTCCATGACCGCCTACATTTCCAACACCCATTCCATGACCACCTCCAATTCCACCGCCCATTCCATGACCACCTCCAATTCCACTGCCAATTCCATGAACGCCTACATTTCCAACACCCATTCCATGACCACCTCCATTTCCACCGCCCATTCCATGAATGCCACCATTTCCACCGCCCATTCCATGACCGCCTCCATTGCCACCATGAGGACCTCCATGGCCACCACCCATTCCATTAGCACCACCATGAACTCCGCCATTGCCACCATGTCCACCGGCCATTCCGTGGCCGCCTCCGTTGCCACCTAATGGACCAAGGCCACCGCCCATTGCATGACCGCCTCCATTGCCACCACCCATTCCATGAATGCCACCATTTCCACCGCCCATTCCATGACCACCTGCATTGCCACCGCCCATTCCATGACCGCCACCATTACCACCATGTGGACCTCCATGGCCACCACCCATTACATGTCCACCTTGACCAGCACCGTGGCCTTGTCCACCTCCATGTCTACCTTGACCAGCACCTTGTCCACCCCCACCCCTTTGACCACCTCGTCTACCGCCAGCTCCTACTGGAACACTTGCAGTTTGTACATTTCCACTACCTTTATTGTTAATTGCACTCGGTCCATTATTTTGTGTTCCCATGGGCGAGAAAATATTTGCTGTTTTTGCAATAATAATGGTCTGGTTGAGATGTTTGTTAGATATATTATTAATATTCTTCCTAATACTCTGTCTGTTGCTCTTCCTTAAACTTTGAGCTGTGTTTTTAGATTTTCTTATTGGTATTATTCTAATGATTCGTCTTCCGGTTGAACTTTTTCGACTTCCGCCATTGCGATTTGCAGTTCCAGAACCCCTTAAAACAGTTGTGACCTGTCTTCTTGGTGGTACAACTACTCTTACATTTTGAATATTGTTTAATGTCAGTCCAGGTTTCCGTCCCTTTGGTATAAGCCGCCTGACGTATCTTGATCTTGACCCCTACAAATAAAAAAAATTAAACGTTTATTCGATTGTACTGAACAATTTTTTTGTTATTGTAATAGTTCTATCAATACAATTAAACTGGTAATGTATGCAGTAATTCAAATATTTATCATATTTTGGTAGTTAACCCTAAAATCTTCAACAGGTATTCCAAATACAGCAGTTCTTAACGTCTATCAATAAAGAGACATCAATTGTCGCCATTTGTCGACATGCACATCAAAATTGGTACCGTAAATATTATTATAAATGGCAAAATTAAAATTTGAAGAAGTATTTTAGAAAATCAGAGTGATTCTTCTTCTTTCACTGTCTTGAATAAGAATTATGGTGCAAAGATGACGTAAACCAACGTGTAACGTGAAAATTCAAGAGTTCTATGTTGTTCGTCTTTCTTGGTTAGGGGCCTAGAAATTGGGGGATGTTTTACCGAGTACTTCAACAGTTTCTTACTACATACGAAAAAATTAAATTTTCAGTCATTGATCTAATATTGTGTTATACCAAAGCTATGAAAGAATATAATAATAGCCATTAAAGTGTTAATACTGACATAAAACCTATGTTCTGTCCATAAATGAGCATCTGAGTATGACGGAAAGTGATTCACATAAAATTGACATAGCTCAAGAATACCCAAAAAAAAGTTTTTAAAAACTAAAGACAACATATAGAAGTAGCTACTGTATAAAATGTTCTTAATAGTGTCTTTAATATCCGTTTTTTTTCAAAATATATATTTTTTTTTTATTCGTAAGTGAATGGCACATAACCTACATGGTGTCGCAGCATAACATAGAACCCCAACGCTTAACATGTGTTACACAATTACACACAAATAAGTTAAATTGATTTGTTATATTTTATTTGTTATGGTTCTATGCATCATTTCATATTTTTTTTTAATTTTCTATTTCATTTCACTTTATTTTGTTATATTAAATGCTATTTTTTTTACTTTATCTTATTATAGAATATCGATTTTGTTGTTTTTGTCCAACTCTATTCTTTTCAATTTTATTTTATTTCATTTTAATTTATTTCGTTTTGTTATACTTTGTTCATTTATTTTGTTATATTTTGTTTATTCTTTTTAATTCTTATATCAATTCATGCCATTTTATTCATTTTATTCATTTTATTCATTTTATTCATTTTATTCATTTTATTCATTTTATTCATTTTATTTGTGTTAATCATTTTATTCATTTAATTCATTTTGTTTTATCTTTATTTTATTTTATTTTATTTTATTTTATTTCAATAATTCATTTTGTTCTATCTTTTTTCCATTTCTTTTCTTTTCATTTCATTTCATTTCATTTCATTTCATTTCATTTCATTTCATTTCGATTTATTTCATTTTATCTCATTTTATTTCCTTTTATTCATTTCATTTCATTTATTTTCGTTTTTGTTTTCTTGAACTTTTGATGCCGGAGGAGGTTGAAGATAGATATAAAGTCTTTTGAAAAACTTCATGAATAGTTATTCCCTAGTTGAAGAAGAAGAATCACAAACCTATCACAAAGGTACATTTTGTACCCTAATTGTACTTTTACCCTAATTGTACTTTTACCCAAATTTTACGTTTACAATGGTATATCAAAATTAGTTCGCTAGTTACCTAAACCCTTATGCTTAGTAAACGTCACTTACATAAACTTACATAAAAACTGTTAATTACTTTTATCAATTCAATCTTTCTTTCTTTTTTTTTTTCATTTTTGGGACATCAGCTGATTTTTGATTGATATGAACCTAATAAAGAATATATGTATGTATTATAATCAATTACTCTTTCTTCGAATTTCCATCCTAATGTTATAAGAGAATATACTTTAATACTATATTTAAAAGATATTTTATATGTTTAATTTTTTCAAATTTGCATTTAAGAGCTAAATTTTTTTTTTTTTACTGGACTACTTTATGGACAACGAGAATGAGGCAATTATTAAAGGGCACAATCAACTAATAAAAGGGCAAATAAAACGACCAATAAAAGTCTATCAATATGTTAATAAATATCTCTGAATAAGTTGACCACACGATCAGTCAGTATTAATTGTGACAAATCGTCATAAAAACAGAGTGTAATGTCATTAAAATGTCAAGCCCATTACAGACAACTGGTCAGTGGTCATGTCCGGGTGTTATAATAAGCTGATCGAACATAATTCGGTAGTGTTGCTTTAATGCTTGATGTGGTCATCGGAAATGTGTGTAAAATCATGTTTTTAACTCCCACATTAGCATATTTGCAGACCAAGCAATATTTTATGTGCATGTATAATACCAGAAGAACTCCCCCAATGCGATGATTTATTACTACCTTTTCAAAAACTAATTAAAGATACAAGGCTTTTAATAAAGTAACCCAGACGCGCGTTTCGTCAACAACAGACTCGTCAGTGGAGCTCAAATCAAAACGGTTGGAAGGCCAATTCAATTACTAAGTTGAAGAGCATTGTAAAGCAAAAGTTCCAAAAATTCATGCTAAAACTGGTTGAATTTAAATTGTAAGCCAACCAAAACGTCTTGATGTGCGCTTTTAAAAGTATTACCCATAATGCACTAGATTCATCAACCGCGAAAAGCGTAACCGTATTTGTATTGTTTTTACCAACAATGAAAAAAATTATAACCGTTTTGATTCTGAAACCACGAATTAAGAACGTTTGCTTTAAAAAGTCACGTCTAAACAATTCATACAATCAGCAAATTATTCAAATCATATTCTATGTTGTAAATAACAATATTTTGTAAATAATATTTCACGAATGACAACAATTGATAGCCATTCAATAAATAATAGAAGTTATCTGACTTTAATGGCAAATCTGGTAATTTGCAAGAGTGTTGTATAATATCATTACCATATAACGTACGTCTAAATCTGTCTTGTAGTTAAAATATACAATTAAATCTTTAGTAGATGTCATTTGGCCAAGGACAATGGTCCATTAAATAATCATTTTCGATTTATTGAAAACATATCCAATATCATTATTTGCTAATTTAACTATCAATTTTATTCGTAGTAGTTTATTCTCATTCTGAGAAAGAAAAGAAAAAAAGATAAAGGTGTTCCCAGAAATTTAAAAGTGGTAAAAATAAATGAATACACCAGAAAGAAAGGACTATAATAGCGTACTTGATGAATGGTAAACATTTTTCCTTAATAGTCCTTCATGAATTATTTAAGATTTCATTTTTGATATAACCTTTGTGCAATCAAAGAAAGGCGAAAGATACCAATGAGACATTCAGACTCATTTGTCGAAGACAAAATGACAATCCCATGTAAAAAACCAAAAGAGATTTAAAGACAAACAACAGTATACAAAACATAACATCGAATATAGATATAAGAAGATGTGGTATGAGTGCCAATGAGAAAACTCTCCATCCAAGTCACAATTTGTAAAAGTAAACCAAACTAAAGATTGAGCAACACGAACCCCACCAAAACCAGGGGTGATCTCAGGTGCTCCGATAGATCCTCTCCATATGTGGGACCCGTCGTCAAGTTCCTATTGCTTAACAGTGTGCTGCTCAAATAGTTAGTTTTAATTAAATGTGTTATTTATATAGAAGCATTTGCTTTAAGTGCATCAAATGCATAAAGCACGCATTCATGTTATTTTTCAGTGCTTATAATACTTTACCTATGCTTTTTAAATGAGGAGATTTGGTATGATTGCCAATGAGACAACTATACACCAGAGTTAAAATGAAATGGTAGTAAGAAATTATAGGTAACCGTACGGCCTTCAACATTGAAAAAAACATACTGTAAAGTCGGCTATAAAATGCCCCAACCTGAAAATTGTAAAACCATTTAAACGAGAAAACTAACGGCCTAATTTATAACAAAACAGTTTACGAAAAACAAATATGATATACATGAACCAACGACAACCACTGAACTACAGGCTCCTGAATTGGGACAGGCACATATAGAATGTGCACGTGGCAAGTTTAGGCATGTTTGTGAACGCTCAACCCTTCCCTAACATGGGACATTGGTGTAACAGAACAACATAAAGATAAACTGTAAAAATCAGTAGCAATTGGCTTAACTCGAAAGATAGATACGAAGCACAAACTCCATTATCATAAAAAACAATAGACACAAAGCACCAAAATAAGAGAACTCGAAGTTACTGAAACATAGTTCAAAACCAATTACAACTTATAGATAAATCATGTTCTCCCAGACTATTGTATCAATCAGTACACATTCAACGGATTTAGCGCAAAGACGTCATAAACAGTCTAAGTGTCGTTTAAAAGCTCTACAGATCGCATGTTTCTTGTAATTCATGTTTATCGCCTTTAAATGAAATGTCTATGTCTTTGATTTAATCATTAAACTTGTATTTAGTACGGAGATGTGGTATCATTGCCTAAATGGGCCGTGGAAGCATCAGAGACCATGTATATGACAGTGCACAAAAAAGTGAAAAGTGAAAAAAAAATAAACAAATATTTTTTTGTTGACATGACGCTCATCAATGAAATACAGCAAAACATACAGCAAGTATATCCACTTTGATAATAATTGACAATGTTATCTTAAAATGTATCAAACTTCATCATATATCTAAAACTTCTTAATCCGTTTTTATTTGAAAATAGAGAGAAATGTTTTCAACTCATATATTGCACATGAATAAGAGCTATGAATGAACGTGAATGTAAGCTATTTTGTTCACCATCTGGTTAATACAAATATAAAGTGATGAGCTATGATTTCCAATGAGACAACTATCAACTAGAGACCAAATGACGAGTGTGTATATACAGCTATTGTTAACCGTACGGATTTCAACAATAAACAACCTCCACAACATGAAGTAAGCTATGATTGGCAACGGAATCGTATCCCTTAAATAGTTCTCAGTTATATTTTTGGACGTTACAAAAGCAGGTCAGTGTATTCCTAATGAAATGTAGTCCTGATCTAGTGTAAGTCTTAAATGCATTTCAGAGTAAATATCAAATACAGTCCATAATAAACGTAAAATGCAGTCAACAGTAATCGCCAAATGCAGTCCAGCTTAAGCATAAGCTACAGTCCAGAGCATGCATAAAAGGCAGCCAAAAGTTAGCGTAAAATGTTGTCACGAGTTAGCGCCAAATTCAGTCAAGAGTTAGCGCCAAATTCAGTCAAGAGTTAGCGCCAAATGCAGTCAAGAATGAGCGGCAAATGCAGCCGAGTGAAAGCCAAACTGCATTCAAGAGTAATCTCAAATGCAGACAAGCGTAAGCGCCAATTGGAGTCAAAAGTAAGCGCGAAATGCAGTCAAGAGGAAGCGCCAAACGCTGTCAAGAATGAGCATCAAACGCAGTCAAGAGTGAGCACTAACTAAAACTAAACAGTTTGCCTTGATATGAAATTAAAACACAATATTGAACGAATGCCTCTCTTAAAAGGTCGTACTATCTTTTTGTCTAAAATTAAAGGTTTGAAATATTCTGATTAATTGCGAAAAATCTTTCTTTAATCAAGCCGTTGGTTTTCTCTTTCTTTTAAATTGTTTTAACGTTTTAAATCCGGAAGCCTATTAAAGCTTACTCTACGGTATGGGTTTTGCTCATATCATATCTCTTTCTTTATTGTATACATCTGAAGTATGTCGTCAAGGATATCCACTAACACACGGTTTTATCATTTTTCATTGTGTGTATTTCTTTGATAAACTACCAAGCCTGACAATTTCTGAAGAATTCGTTTTAATCACCAAGATATAAAAACTTTTATTGTGTGAAAATGGGGACCATTTATAGTTGATGCAATATGTATTTTGCTCATTGTTGAAGGCCGCACGGTGATCTATAGTTGCTAACTTTTATATCATGAAGTCTGTGGTGAAAAGTTGTCTCATTGGCAATCATACCACATCTTCTTATTTTTGATTGGTTTCATGTATACATGTATGTATGTATTGCTTGGATTGGCTATCTGTGTTATACATTTGGGTAGCTCAAGAATTGATTGTAATAGACCAAAACTCATGAATCACGTTTACATTATATGTTTTCTGTAAGTTTGTTTTTATCTGTTTATAACTTTTTAAAGTTAATCATGTAAAATCATGTTTTATTCGTAAAAAATAGTTAAGTACAATCCCAAGCTACATTAATATATTTGGTTAGAATGAGAAGCTTTCAAAATCCAGATGTAAAAATATAGACAGTATAATACTGACTGATACCTAGTGATTCTCCTAATGTAACGCGATGGAACCCTGATAAATGTTATTATCTAATAGTGTTAAACGCACGATCACCCCCCCCCCCCCCCTTTTTTTTGCATTGCCAAAAAACCGTCTGTTCTTTTTTCCGAGTAGCAAGATTTATTCGACTAAGATAGAAAATAAGATGCATTCGAAGCAAATTATTAATCTTCCAATATATTTTTAATATCAAATAGCAAATCAAACTTCAAACCCCGTCATGCAAAGTTACCTTCGGAGGAATATAGCTATTCTTTTGTGTCCCTTTTGATCAAACAAATCCTAACGTTTCTATGTTTTATATATCCCTGGCTTACAAGTGATTCGGTCTGAGCGTTCCTATTGAAGGTAAATCAAGAAAAGCGCAATGAATTCACTAAGTTTATAAAATTTTATGTTCAAATAAAATTAAAAGAAGAACTAACCTGGATCCTAGCTTCTTCAGAAAAATGAAAGACACAAATTACAATCCCAACCACAAATAGTAGAAAAGTACGACCCTGCATTTTCACAGAAAATGTCAAGTGTAAACTATACTATTGGTAGCTGATCCAAGAAGTGGATAAAATGGTATATGTTTAATGTTTTTATATGAAGAGCCTTATTAATATGCGTCTGTTTATCCTATGAGTTAGCCATAGTGACAGATTCATTGGCCTTTTGTTAGAGAACTGTATATAATTGACACTTTTCACGGACTAATACACAGAAAATAGGTAAAAAAGCATTAAATTCTCCTGTATTTCCGGCCGGCAGAAATGATCGATTGTCCATTAATTATTATTTATTCAATATTTTTTATGTCCTAATTTTGATATTTTAGTAGATATTATAGTTTTGCAATGGTGTTTTAACATGTGAGTTACACTTGGTTGTATAGGCATATAATTATCTTACATTACATGAATGACGTCCCTAATATATGGAATGAGAATTCATAGAGAGTTCATTTCTGTACACGGTTAGTATTAGGCATTAGACAAGTATCTTTGTTCAACATTAATATAGCATTCATTTCAACATTATAGTCGGAAAATGCCTGTACCAAGTCAGGAATTATATTACAGTTGATTAATATAGTCGAGCGTTTGGTTTTGTCAGGTTTTATGGACTTTCCCCTTTTTGAATTAACCTTAGAGTTCCGTGTTTTTGTTAATACTTTTTTCATACTTGGAAAAGATTGCTTGCTGTTTGTTTTACACCGCCTCAGCACAAAAAGGCTTTATCGCGACGGCTTACCTTGTGGAATTTACCAACTGTTGGCAGCGTATCGTCGCGATACGGTATGTGGGAATATACTGGAAAAAAAATAACAATATACCAAGAGTAACAGCATGTAAGCGTACAGCTGCCGGAAATTGTAGTTTTCTGTCCAACAGAGGGATAAGAACAATGAGTTTCGATGTTCCTTTGGTGTCAAACGCCCCTCTCTCGCTTTTTGTTTTTTTTTTTTTTGGGGGGGGGAGTATGGGGGGGATACAAACACATGAACACGAGTGATTCGTAGAGTAATCATATTTGTTAAAATATCAAACGTTATTTAAGAATGACGCCAGTTAAACATCACTGTAAAAGAAGCATACAAAATTTTACATCGGTTGCTGGCTGTCGAAATCAAAGAAAATTTAGCACCGTATTATATAGTACATTATACTCAATCTTCCTTTAATGCTTTGTACAGGCTTACATATTTTGGGCACAAAAAAAATCATATTTTTTAGTATTTGTTCAAACTGTCAATTATAGCGAACTGTACGACCAGCAAGTTAAAAAATAAGGCCGCTAGACGTCAGAGCAATCTGGGAATATTAAACACTATGCCTAGTTATTTTTGTACTATTGATGACCGTACTGCCTACAACAACAACAAAAAATCCACACTGTATATTTGACTTTACAAGTCTCCAACAAGAGAAATATTTAACACACACACACACATGTTTTTATGTAGAGTAACATGTCTTTCAGAGTGCTAAACTGTAACCATCACATTAAGGTCCGTCTTGTGAAAGAGTTTTCATCTATAAAAAAAAATTTTGTTCTGATATTCATGTAATATTTGCCACTGAAAGTTTTGCAAAAATCAAGAAAAAAAACGAAAACAAAAAATAGTAGTTCAGATCCCTCAATGTGATCACTTGCATGTCAACAAACAGTGATATAGGGAGAATGGCCAACATGATATAGCAGATAGCTGAAAGTGGCACACACACACACAATCAATCAGTTATTTTTAAATTACCTATCATTAATCAGTTTTGGCAAAAAAAAATATATAGGCTATACCATACTGAAACATAAATGTGATAAAAGAATATACAATTCAAGAAAGAGAGGTGCACCAACAGAAAATAGAAACTGCAATCATTCTTTTAATTTCATCGGATCTCAAAATTTTAACTCTTACCAGAATTTATTCATCTTACAGTATAACTCGGAAGTTTCTAAGTGGAAATCGAGCTTTAACTAGAACTCTTACCCGAATTAACATTCGAACTAAAAATAAAACTGGAACTTTAACTCAAAATTTAGCTGGAACTCGAACTCTTAGGCCACACTTAAAAATATTTTGGTTTGCCCAAACCCTACTCGAAGGTAGAGACAGTGGGTAGGTAGGCAGGCATTTTCTTTTTTTTTTTTGGCAAAGAGAAATTGAAGTGTCAATTGTTTATTATATCATGCCTATCTGATTAAAAAAAAAAATTTTCACATCAGGACAATAAAAGATTTTGAGTAGGCAGCTATTTTCGGGGTAAGTAGGGTTAGGGCAAACAAATATATTCTTTTTTATGGCCTTATTCTTCCTCAAAGGTTATCCACACTCTCATTCGTCATCTGATAAAAAAATTCGTAAAGGTTCCACGGAACCCAGTGTCTCAAATTTCATCCAAGCTCCCCCATAAAAATCAAATGGTACCTCCCTAAATATTAGTTGGGTGTACATGATATTTGTTTGGATACCATGTATATACCAGTAAAGGCATATACAATATTTCATGATAAAAAGGTAGCGTCCTAAACAGTATTGGTGCTGCTCGTTGTTAAAGGTTGTACGGTGCCCTATAGTCATGAACATTCTTGTCCTTTTGTATTTAGAAGATAATTGTCTCATTAGCAACCATACCACATCTTCTCTTTTTTAGATAGAAGTAAATCCAAAATCCAAAATAAAAATCAGTTAGATTATTTTCTGCTGTGCATACCTTTGTTTCTGTGATTTATTATATTTTTGCTTCGCATCCCGGTGCGGAGCTATTAGTTTCAGTCGATAAACACGCCATCTTGAAATAATTACTTATCCAATGTATATTCTGATTGGTTGCTTTATGATGCGGCTGAGATACAGCAATAGCTATTGGCTTAAATGAGATAAAGAATTACAGACTTTTTCTCGTCTCAGGATAAGACATCAAATGCCGGAAATTTAGCTATGTGTTTTTCAGTTCCGATCAACTGTCATTAATTCATGTTCGTTTTATTATGCCTATATTGCACAGTGAAATTCAATATTGAAATATCAGTTATTAAAACGTGTTTATTTGCTTAGTTAATCTGCAATATGCACGATTTGTTTTGCTAAACAATGTTCCTATACAATATTTACAAAAATGCATTATCTGTATTTTATAACTTCTGCCAATCTAGGCACACCTCCAGAGTCGTGTCTATTTGTAAATATTTTGATTTTCAACAAGTAAAGTGAACAAATTTTAAAAGCATGGGTGTATAACGCACAACACTGAACAGCCAGTTTAAAATTTCAGAAAAGTTCACCTTAATATATATACAAAAAATTGATATTCCAAGTCTAAGACATCCATTTTATATCAATCATTATCTAAAAATACCACATTTCCAATACTAAATCAACAACCACATGCACACATATTACATTAAACTAGGATAGAGCGAAGCAGTCCACAGCTTTTTAGAAAGCTCAAACTTGTTGTGATTGTGTTTGTATGTTTTGTCCTTCAATAAGACTGTTCTACGAATACATTGTTTAAATACTTTTCTAGTATTTTCATGAAATAATGGCGGTTTTCTTAATTTATTAATGTTTCCTTAAAAATGAAATAAAACAATACCAAGGACTTCTCAGAATTTTCTAGGCTACTAGAAAACTTTGTACATGATATGCTTTCATTAATTATGCAGAACAATTTGTTGGAATTTATCTCACAAGGAAGACGGACATGAAATAAAATAGGTAAAAAATTATATACAATAGACAGGTTTATTCTGTTTAATTATGTACATCCGCTGAGTGTGACGAAATAAATTAATTTGACTTTATTCACACCATGCATACCATAGCGATGTACATGTATGTTTTAATAGTGCTTCATTTAAGTATGTCATTCAGTTAAGGGACATCAGTTTATATATATTGGGCAGGAAAGGGAGGGGGTTAAGGAATATTCTGGCCTGGTAAGAAATGAAAATGAATAACTTTGCCAAAGACAAGGTAAAAATGAATATTCTGCAACACTTAATGCCGCGCAAAAAAGATATGCGTGCCTCGTAAAAAATATACTCCTACTACCCCCCTTCCCCATAAAATTCAAAAGTTCGTCCTTTTATCATAACCTCTGTTTCTTTAAGCAGATGGTATAGTCATTTATTGTGTCTTCGTCCTTATAATGTAGGTTCAACTGATGTATCTGCTACTGCTCCTTGACAATTTGAAAGAATTTAGTGAAACTTTCACGGAATCTTACTCACGTGGTGTACTGTTGCATCTCTTATTATGATTTTTCATTTGATTAATTTGTGGATTTGACTTTGGCATAACATAGTCTTTGCCATATTTGCACACAACAGTATACATACGAGTCCGATTCTCCTCCTTAACCCCTAAACACAAAATGAAACTTTAAAAAAAATCAGCACCATATGAAGCCATTGTGCATCTTCAATTTTATCTTTTATCTGAATTACTTTTGGGGTTCTCTTTAGAAAATCATGGATTGTGGCATTGATTCTCGGAAACGGAAAATTATTGTTGAATAATCGATTAGTGTATGGATCATCATCATCATCATCATCATCATCATCATCATACGTGCACTTGTTCTATGTTGTTTTACTATATCGTCAAACTGAGGGGGTGGATGCGGTTTACACAATAGAGACAAGAACCATTGAATAATGGGCCAAAAAATAGACAAAAATAAAGAATAGAGAAAAATGGTGTGCTAAAATATAAAGAATGGAGAATAAAAATAAAAAAAAAAAAGAAACGAAGACCCCAATATAGAACCTTAATTTTAACTTATTAAAACGTGCACATATATCTCGGCCCACAACTTTTCATGCCAGTGTATGCTAAACAAGATCAAAAGATAAGATTGATGAAATCAAATTAAGATCAAAATACTTGATGATTGAGGAGATTGCATAATAAAACATGATGGATATCTGTACAAATTGGTACATTTCCTGACCTATTGCTCTCGTAAATATATCAGTTCTTACAAAGTTTTCCAGCTTACAAAAAAATTTCTAAGAGTTATGCGGTGAGCGACATTCATTATA